GCCTGCCATAGATGTGGGCAAAACGTCAGGAGAGAATGCTTCTGGAACATGGCCATACAGCCCTTTCTTGCTCCTGTTGAGTGTAATCTACAAAGCACGATTGAGTAATGATTATACTGAAGCTCCCATCATTCTTCACCATTGGCTATGCTGACTTTTGGGAGCGGAATACCTGCAGTCCAACGATACCTGGAGAACAGGTACACCCTCCCCACTCCTAGCTTGCACATATGTAGCCACCTGAATTGCTTGGACAGTGGGTGCGCTACAGACGTGGCTAATAAACCAATGTTCCATCTTTGCCGAGCATCCTTTTCGTACTCACATGGGTATCTGAAATAGAAGTCATTCTCAGCATCGCTGGTGATGTTTTTGTCCTGCTTCTCCTTCTGCCACCCGGCTGCATCGGATTCAGGGTTGAAGCGCACAAAGATGCCAAAGAGGATAATCATGGCTATCTGCCAGACAAGGCAAACCAATGGCAGGCGCCAGCGCATGTCGGTGTTCCTCACCAACAGGTTAGTCCTCACCATGGTTCCCTCTCTTGCTGGCTAGTCCAGAGGGAAATGGTGGGAAGCAGGAGTTAGCTGAGAAGTCCTGACTGCTGGGGGACGCTCATTCATTTTATGTAATCTGGGGAGAGGTGGGCGGGACCACAGGGCTGTCAGTCATCCTTGTCACACCAGGACAGTAGCAACAAGTTCCTTGAGGTTGAGTTTTGTGCACTCTCTCTCACACCAGGAACAAGGAAAAAGGTGGGGCCCATGCTTTAGGGTGGACTCCTGTTAGGAACCACATACATTCCTTGGGCTCAGCATCACCAATGACAAAGAGCCAGGTAGACTCCAAGTTCTACTTTGTGGCAGTATGGACAGAGGAAACTGCAAGCCGACCAAAGATCAATGTATTGTTGAAGGCTTTCATGTTGTTGTAGGGTTTTTTTGGGCTATATGCAGAGGCGGCCCTAGGTAATTTTCAATGGTAAGCAAACAATATTTTGGCACCCCCCACCCAATCACTGATATATATTTTCTGTTCATCATGGGAGTTCTGTGTGCCACATTTGGTTCAATTCCATCCTTGGTGGAGTTCAGAATGCTCTTTGATTGTAGGTTAACTATAAATCTCAGCAATTACAACTCCCAAATGTCAAGGTCTGTTTTCCCCAAACTTCGCTAGGGTTAACATTTGGGCATATTGAGTATTCATGTCAAGTTTGGTCCTGATCCATCCCAATAACTACAACTAACTATACATCCCAGTAACTACAATTTGCATATGTCAAGGTCTATTTTCCCCCAAGAGCACCCCAAGAGTGCCCCTGGGCAAAATCAACTATACTGTTGATCCTGTTTAGACTACTGCAACGCTCTCTACGTGGGGTTGCCTTTGAAGACGGCTCGGAAGCTCCAACTAGTCCAACTGGCAGCCATGATACTAACAGGAGCGGGGCGCAGGGAGCATACAACTCCTCTGCTGCACCAGCTCCACTGGCTGCCGATTTGCTACCGGGCTCAATTCAAAGTGCTGGCGTTGGCCTTTAAAGCCCTAAACGGTTCTGGCCCAACTTACCTATCCGAACGTATCTCGACCTATCAGCCCACCAGGACCCTAAGATCTTCTGGGGAGGCCCTGCTCTCTATCCCGCCTGCTTCACAGGTGCGGCTGGCGGGGACGAGAGACAGGGCCTTTTCTGTGGTGGCCCCTCGGCTGTGGAACGCCCTTCCCATGGAGGTAAGATCAGCCCCCTCGCTAATGGTGTTCCGAAGAAGATTAAAAACTTGGATGTTTGAACGGGCTTGGTTAATCAGTGCAATGAATGTGACGATTACAGGAATGGAAATATGGACGACGAATTGGATCACGACTCTAGTTATGAGATGCATTGCGTTGTTATTGTTGTGTAATATTGTATATTGTGCTCTTGTGGTTTTAAATTGTATATCGTGATTGATTTTATCCTTGTTGTAAACCGCGTTGAGTCGCCGGTTAGGCTGAGAAACTGCGGTATACAAGTAAAGTAAAGTAAAGTAAATAAATAAATAATAGAATCATACAGTCAAAGAGTTGGAAGAGGCTCCTCACTCTAGGCCTTTGATGGGCAACCTTTTGAGCTTGGTGTGTCAAAATTTGCCAAAAACCTGAGCATAACTTGGGTAGAGTGTCAACTTTGAGAAAAAAAACACATAATTTTGCAATATTTATAGTTTAAATAAGAAAAATGTATAATCCATGCTGAATTATGGAGTGAACAATGCTCAAACGTGCAGATGTTAAATTTGTAGAGCCTTTTACAAATTTAAGGATGGAATTAGATTGGCTCTTATAAGGTGTATTTCTCTGTATGTGGCCGCATGTGTCATCAAAAAGCCATGCGTGTCAGTGCTGACACGCATGTCATAGGTTCACCATCACGGGTCTAGAGGCATTCTCTCCTGATGTTTCGCCTGCATCTATGGCAAGCATCCTCAGAGGTAGTGAGGTCTGTTGGAACTAGGAAAAAGGGTTTATATATCTGTGGAATGACCAGGGTGGGACAAAGGACTCTTGTCTGCTGGAGCTAGGTGTGAATGTTTCAACTGACCACCCTGATTAGCATATAATGGCCTGACAGTGCCTGGAGCAAACTTTTGTTGAGAGGTGATTAGATGTCCTTGTTTGTTTCCTCTCTGTTGTTGTGCTGTTGTAATTTTAGAGTTTTTTAATACTGGTAGCCAGATTTTGTTCATTTTCATGATTTCCTCCTTTCTGTTGAAATTGTCCACATGCTTATGGATTTCAGTGGACTCTAACCAGAGAAATCAGCCATAGCAGAGCACCTGATGAACCAACCTGGACACAGCATTTTATCAGAACACAGAAATGCTGGACCACTCTCACAACCACCATGTCAGACTACACAGAGAAGCCATTGAAATCCACAAGCATGTGGTCAATTTCAACAGAAAGGAGGAGACCATGAAAATGAACAAAACCTGGCTACCAGTATTAAAAAAACCCTCTAAAATTACAACAGAAAAACAAAAGAGAGGAAACAAACAAGGACATCTAATCACCTCTCAACAAAAGTTTGCTCCAGGCACTGTCAGGCCATTATATGCTAATCAAGGTGGTCAGTTGAAACATTCACACCTAGCTCCAGCAGACAAGAGTCCTTTGTCTCACCCTGATCATTCCACAGATATATAAACCCTTCTTCCTAGTTCCAACAGACCTCACTACCTCTGAGGATGCTTGCCATAGATGCAGGCGAAACGTCAGGAGAGAATGCCTCTAGAACATGGCCATATAGCCCAGAAAAACCTACAACAACCCAGTGACAAAAGATCTTTGGAGGAGGCAAATGTTGTGCTGATTAGGAGTCAGCTACAGTGTGTACCCTAGTTAAGAAAAGTACACTTTGTTGTATCCAGTGTATACATTTGGATACACCTGTCACAATCTGTTCCTAATTTCTTTTGTATTCTTTGGGCACGACTGCTTCTTTTACTTCCTCCTGACCTTGTAGCCATCCGTGACCCTGATTATGGAGGATATCTAAATAATTGGGCATGAGTCCAAAAACATCATTGGACACAAGCATAGAATAATAGAATCATAGAGCTGGAAGAAACCACAAGGGCCATCCAACTCAACCCCGGCCCAGCCAAGAACATACAATCAAAGCACCCCCAACAGATGGCCATCCAGCCTCTGCTTAGATCTCAACCTGGGGGTCAGGATCCCTGGAGGGGTCATGGGGGGGGGGGGGGGTGTCAGAAGGGTCACCAAATGTTGGTGGGCAGGAAAAGAGATTGAAAGATGGGCTCAAAGCCAACCTTAAAAGCTCTGGCATAGACACTGAGAACTGGGAAGCCCTGGCCCTTGAGCACTCCAGCTGGAGGTCAGCTGTGACCAGCAGTGCTGTAGAATTTGAAGAGGCACGAATGGAGGGCGAAAGAGAGAAACGTGCCAAGAGGAAGGCATCAAGCCAACCCCGACTGGGACTGCCTTCCACCTGGAAACCAATGCCCTCACTGCAGGAGAACATGCAGGTCAAGAAAAGAGCTCCACAGTCACCTATGGATCCATCGCCAGTACACTGATCTTGGAAGACTATCCTACTCGGACAATGAGGGATCGCTTAACTAACCGTCACAGAGGTCACCAAAGGCCATCAGAAAATACAGTATTTTCTGTTAGTCATGGGGATTCTGTGTGGGAAGTCTGCCCCAATTCTATCATTGGTTTGATGCTTTCTGGATGTAGGTGAACTATAAATCCTAGCAACTACAACTCCCAAATGTCAAGGCCTATTTTCCCAAACTCCACCAGTGTTCACATTTGGGCATATTGAGTATTCGTGCCAAGTTTGGTCCAGATCCATCATTGTTTGAGTCCACAGTGAATATAAGTGAACTACAACTCCAAAACTCAAGGTCAATGTCCATCAAACCCTTCCAGTATTTTCTGTTGGGCAGGGGAGTTCTGTGTGAAGTTTTGTTCAATTCCGTCATTGGTGGAGTTCAGAATGCTCTTTGATTGTACGTGAACTATAAGTTCCAGCAACTACAAATCCCAAATGTCAAGGTCTATTTTCCTCACTCCACCAGTGTTATCATTTGAAGTCCTGCTGTTAGGGCCAACTTCTGACACCCTAGCAGTGAGTAGATCAATAGGTACCGCCTTGGTGGGAAGGTAATGGCTCTCCATGCAGTCATGCCAGCCACATGACTAGGAGGTGTCTATGGACAACGCCGGCTCCTAGGCTTAGAAATGGAGATTATTACACTTGATATCAGGGAAAGGTTTACCTTCACTTACTTTGAAAGTAGGTGTTCTTCATTTTTGTGGCTGCCCCAAACTATGTTGAATTGGTTGAGACTTGATGAGATATTCAATGAAAAGCTATAACAAAATATGCTTTAGGATGCCCCTCCCGCAAAGACAAAGTTTTTACAGTTTAATAAACTTTTCCCATATTTTTATGATAAAGCCAATTAGGAAATGACATTTTTTACCCAGGAACAAAAAATGATTTCACACTTGGGAAAATTTTGTTGTTGTTCATTCGTTCAGTCGTTTCCGACTCTTCGTGACCTCATGGACCAGCCCACGCCAGAGCTCCCTGTCGCCCGTCACCACCCCCAGCTCCTTCAAGGTCACTCTTTTCACCACATACAAATCATCCTTTGTTGTTGTTCATTCGTTCAGTCGTCTCCGACTCTTCGTGACCTCATGGACCAGCCCACGCCAGAGCTCCCTGTCGGCCGTCACCACCCCCAGCTCCTTCAAGGTCAGTCCAGTCACTTCAAGGATGCCATCCATCCATCTTGCCCTTGGTCGGCCCCTCTTCCTTTTTCCTTCCATTTCCCCAGCATCATTCCCTTCTCTAAGCTTTCCTTTCTTCTCATGATGTGGCCAAAGTACTTCATCTTGGCCTCTACTATCCTTCCCTCCAATGAGCAATCGGGCTTTATTTCCTGAAGATGGACTGGTTGGATCTTCTCGCTGTCCAAGGCACTCTCAGAACTTTCCTCCAGCACCACAGTTCAAAAGCATCTCTCTTCCTTCACTCAGCCTTCCCTCTGGTCCAGCTCTCACATCCGTAGGTGACTACAGGGAATACCATGGCTTT